GTCCTCCGACGAGATGATAATAAAGTCCCAACATGAGACGATAATAAAGTCCCAAAGTCCTCCGACGAGATGATAATAAAGTCCCAACATGAGACGATAATAAAGTCCCAAAGTCCTCCGACGAGATGATAATAAAGTCCCAACATGAGATGATAATAAAGTCCCAAAGTCCTCAGACGAGACGATAATAAAGTCCCAACATGAGACGATAATAAAGTCCCAACGTCCTCAGACGAGACGATAATAAAGTCCCAACATGAGACGATAATAAAGTCCCAACATGAGACGATAATAAAGTCCCAACATCCTGTTGGAGTGACAACTATTGGCGCTCAGTCCCAGGTGAGACGAGACGGTGCAGCAACTTTGATGGTTTTAAAGTTTAAGATGACATCCTGGCTAAAATCAACTCAATCATGTTGTTGTTATTGCTGAAGCTGTTGTGTCATGAATATTTTCTATTTTGTAACTGTGTTTTATATTTTAGTATCATTTCTCTGTTTCCTGTCCAGGGACGACAGATGAACATTAGCTCATAGCTAACTGTGGTGCAGCTCAGTATCTGAACACTTTAATACACTAAATAAATTAACTAGTATAATTACATTAGAATTTTTACAGCACAGAGTGTATGTGTGTGTGTGTGTGTGTGTGTGTGTGTGTGTGTGTGTGTGTGTGTGCTGCAGTGAAGCATCTGAACTGATGATTCGAGGAATCTTCCACGCAGAGTATGTTTGTGACATGAGAACAGGTGTGAACAGCTGACTGCTTGTTGACAGAAGAACTTTAAATATCATCATCATTGGGGTGTCGGTGGCTTAGTGGTAGAGCAGGTGCCCCATGTACAAGGCTGTTGCCACAGCGGCCCGGGTTTGACTCCAGCCTGTGGCCCTTTGCTGCATGTCATCCCCCCTTCTCTCTCTCCCCCTTTCATGCTTACCTGTCCTGTCTATTAAAGGCAAAATGCCCAAAAAAAATATCATCATCATCATCATTATAATTATAATAAAACTTCAAACTTCAGACGGAACCACGAAACACAAGGACTGACCCATCACACACTCACCGTCTCTCTAATGTTCTGATCTCCAGCTGGAAACAACAAACAGGAAGTGTGACACCGAGGCTGCCGTTCCCCAAACAATCTGCGGTCACCATGGAGACCTGGTGTGCTCTCCTGTGATTGGCTGTTCGATCCTCCCTCTCAGGTGTCGTCTCATTAAAATCCAAGTTAGTTTCACAAACACGTGACCCGAGCTGTGACAGATGAGTCAGCAGTAGCACCCATCCTGTGGCTCAGTCTCTCTCTGGTGTTTTACCGGCTGCTGAAAACGTCTCGTCATGTTTCTGACAGTGACGTGTCAAAAGCTTGTGTCTGACCTCGGGAGCATCAGCTGACACTTCCTGTAGGTGTTTCACAGTAAAAGTCTACCGCTGGCTTCACGTTAAGACACTTTTATTTTGTATTTTTATGAAACACACGCAGGAAGTGTGACGTTAGTGAGAGTGGCAGCTTCACACATGATCAGGAACTGATGAACGATGATGCGACAATCATCGTTCATCATCATCTTGTGGATCAAACTTCAGTTCATATAAATAAAATCACATTAACTGCTGTAAAATCCATAAATCAGTAATTGCGATGATTTTAATTGTAAACTTTTGTATGATATTAGTATTAATTCATATTTCTATTTTAATGTTACTCTTGGTATGCTTTTGTTTCTCCTGATGTTGAGTCCCTGTAAAATGTGACTCAGTGTAATATAATAAAAACTGACCTGGGAACGTCTGTTTGATTTTATTTGGGAAGTTTTACTGTGTTGTCTTTGGTTAAATCACAGGTGTTCACTGCCCTCTAGTGATCAGAGTCAGGAACTACACTGCTGCATTTCTCACTGGGAATAATGCAGACACTAATACTAATTATTATTATTATTATTATTATTATTATTATTATTATTAAAGTTTATTTGTAAATTCAGATATAAAGAACAGAGAAAAGTAAAACATGCTAAAACCAGTTTCCATGTGCAGGTGAGGTAGAGACCCAGAGAGAGCTTTTCTTGGTACCTCACCCAAAAGGGACAAATAAAATATGCATAGATTTAAAAATCCGACATGATGCAAAGTAAAAGGTCAGTAACGATAAATGTCTGCCGGACAAGCATCATGACTGAGGAGAAATAAACACCAAATGAGTCAGTGCTCTGCAGAGACACAGCACAGTGATGCTTTATACGGCACCAGACCTTTTTGTCATGAACCCACTGTTACGTTTGTCTTTGTATCAGGACAAAGACATCGAGTCACTTCAAAAGTTCAAGTTCATGATCAGCAGTCGGGCTCCACGGTGTCTCCATGAATAGTGTTCATTTACTTCACTTTGGAAATAAAAGTAGATATTTAAATATATTTGAATATGTATCAGAAATAGTCTGTACATCACGTATCAAGAAGAGAGGAGAGGTTGCAGCACATGACTTGGAGCAGGTTGCTATTCTAATAAAACTTTTTTGCACCATAAAAAATGTTATGAAGGTACTTAGGGTCAGCACTCACCCAGACAATATAACAGTCAGTGAGAAGAGGATATATATATAAACTGTTAAAAAAAACAAGATTTCTGATGATTCGTAGAGACTTTGTGACCGATGTGATCTTTCCAAGTGCATTTCTCTTTCATCAAAATTCCAAGAAATCTTGTTGATGTAACTTTAGAAATTTCTTCACCATCAATATATCATTTTAAATATGCAAGAAGGCCACTGTTAACTTCATTCATAAGTACTAACATCTTTATATCTGAAATAATAAATTAGTATCATCAGCAAATAATATTGGTATCATAGTGTTTGACACTGCTGCAAGATTGTTTGTATAGATGAGAAACAACATGGGTCCTAAAACGGATCCTTGTGGTTCCCCACACTGTATCGCAGCTCTCTCAGACTCTGCATTAACATGAAAATACTGCTGTATATAAGAAACTTAATTACTGGGCCATTTCACAACAGAGCCCTGTCATCTGTACCTGTGCAGTTTGGCAGTCATGGCCGAGAGCATCAAACGCTTTGGAGAGATCCAAGAAAATACTACATGTAAACTCTTTATTTTCGGAGGCAGTGTGGACCTGATCTACCAGCTGCATGTCATGCATGCAGAGTGATTTTTGTGGAATCCATACTGCTGTCCATAAAGTATTTTATACATGTTAAAATGTTGACGACAGCATCCATAAACTAATTTTCTAAAAGTTTGGAAAATTTGTGAAATGTTTTGGATCATCTGCTTTAAAAAGAGGAATGACTTTTACAAGTTTGAGATCATATGAAAAATATTCGTTTTCACGGACACTGCATATACATCTTTATATATATATATATATTTATACAGTACAGGCCAAAAGTTTGGACACACCTTACATTGTAGATTCTCACTGAAGGCATCAAAACTATGAATGAACACATGTGGAGTTATGTACTTAACAAAAAAAGGTGAAATAACTGAAAACATGTTTTATATTCTAGTTTCTTCAAAATAGCCACCCTTTGCTCTGATTACTGCTTTGCACACTCTTGGCATTCTCTCCATGAGCTTCAAGAGGTAGTCACCTGAAAGTGTTTCCACTTCACAGGTGTGCCTTATCAGGGTTAATTAGTGGAATTTCTTGCTTTATCAATGGGGTTGGGACCATCAGTTGTGTTGTGCAGAAGTCAGGTTAATACACAGCCGACAGCCCTATTGGACAACTGTTAAAATTCATATTATGGCAAGAACCAATCAGCTAACTAAAGAAAAACCAGTGGCCATCATTACTTTAAGAAATGAAGGTCAGTCAGTCCGGAAAATTGCAAAAACTTTAAATGTGTCCCCAAGTGGAGTCGCAAAAACCATCAAGCGCTACAACGAAACTGGCACACATGAGGACCGACCCAGGAAAGGAAGACCAAGAGTCACCTCTGCTTCTGAGGATAAGTTCATCCGAGTCACCAGCTTCAGAAATGGCAAGTTAACAGCAGCTCAGATCAGAGACCAGATGAATGCCACACAGAGTTCTAGCAGCAGACCCATCTCTAGAACAACTGTTAAGAGGAGACTGCGCCAATCAGGCCTTCATGGTCAAATAGCTGCTAGGAAACCACTGCTAAGGAGAGGCAACAAGCAGAAGAGATTTGTTTGGGCCAAGAAACACAAGGAATGGACATTAGACCAGTGGAAATCTGTGCTTTGGTCTGATGAGTCCAAATTTGAGATCTTTGGTTCCAACCGCCGTGTCTTTGTGAGACGCAGAAAAGGTGAACGGATGGATTCCACATGCCTGGTTCCCACTGTGAAGCATGGAGGAGGAGGTGTGATGGTGTGGGGGTGTTTTGCTGGTGACACTGTTGGGGATTTATTCAAAATTGAAGGCACACTGAACCAGCATGGCTACCACAGCATCCTGCAGCGACATGCCATCCCATCCGGTTTGCGTTTAGTTGGACGATCATTTATTTTTCAACAGGACAATGACCCCAAACACACCTCCAGGCTGTGTAAGGGCTATTTGACCAAGAAGGAGAGTGATGGAGTGCTGCGGCAGATGACCTGGCCTCCACAGTCACCGGACCTGAACCCAATCCAGATGGTTTGGGGTGAGCTGGACCGCAGAGTGAAGGCAAAGGGGCCAACAAGTGCTAAACACCTCTGGGAACTCCTTCAAGACTGTTGGAAAACCATTTCAGGTGACTACCTCTTGAAGCTCATGGAGAGAATGCCAAGAGTGTGCAAAGCAGTAATCAGAGCAAAGGGTGGCTATTTTGAAGAAACTAGAATATAAAACATGTTTTCAGTTATTTCACCTTTTTTTGTTAAGTACATAACTCCACATGTGTTCATTCATAGTTTTGATGCCTTCAGTGAGAATCTACAATGTAAATAGTCATGAAAATAAAGAAAACGCATTGAATGAGAAGGTGTGTCCAAACTTTTGGCCTGTACTGTATATATATATAAATATGTAGTAAAGGTTTCAGAACTGAGCTTTTCACCTCTTTTACCAGAGCTGCACTAATTCAGTCATGTCCTGGAGAATCACTCTTTGACTCCCTTATAACCTCGTTTATCTCTTTGATGTAGGAGGTTCAAAAAACATACTGACGGAAAGCAACCTCTTACATAATCAGCTGGACTAGTGTTTGTACTGAAAATTTTCTTAGAAATGGAAACTCCAACATTCACAAAAAACTAGTGAATCCACAGGCCGTATCAGAAGGCTTCATGATGGGAGTTTTCCCATCAAAAAACTGGGAGGAAATCTTGTGGCAGTTTTCTTCTTTTGTCGTGGCTGATTTATAATTTTCTATGTAGCTTCGATTTCATTTGCAGCGTTTCTGAACTGACAAACTGTTTTTGTTGTAGTTTTGTTTTTTTTCTGCTCTAAGAAGATGATTACATTTATTTCTAAGATGGGATAGGCCTAATTTTTTGGAATATTTTGCAGGCGGAAGAACGAACACAAGTTCATGTTTGTTTTGATCAAATATCATTCTAAGGTTTCCTATGGTTGAGCCAGAGGCCAGAGCAATGCCATCAGAGGAAACTATCTCTTCATACTGTACTGTATACTTCTAACGTATATACTATCAAATGCCTATCCCTCACTCTTATCTAAGACAAGGCTGAAGAATCTTAATAAAGTCTGTATTATCTTCATTAGGTGCATACACATTCACTAGTGAGAACTCAGTACCATCGTTGCTCCGTTCACTCGTATAAACCTTCCCTCACTGTCTTTAAACTTTGATGTGGAGTTCACTCCTCTCCTTTTAAATCCCACCACACCTCTTCTGGAGCATGAGAGGAATAAAACGCTTTGTCTGCCCATCTTTAGCTTTATATGTTCAGCATTTGACATGTGAGTTTCTTGTGTATGAGCTACATCACAGTGTAGTTGTTTGAGCTGACCCAATATTTTTTACCTCTTTACTGGACTATGTAAAGTAAAAAAAAACAACAAAAAAAAAACCCCAAAAAAGCGAGGGGCTTCGACTTGCCTTATCCATTTCGTCCTGCCAAGTTTTGCTGCAGTTGTTCTTGTTTCTGGACTTCCTGCTCATTCTCACACAATTCTACCATGTTTTACATTTTTGGAGTAAAAGTTGAACGGCAGGAGATCGATTTCTATCAGAGGTGGTCGGAGCAG